AAAGGTTTCGTTCCGATCGGTCCACCCAGCTAGGCGTAATCGGCGAACATACATAGAAAAAAAAAAATATATACTGATCGAATTGAGTAACCTCCTCCTTTTTCGAAGTCGGTTAAAAAAAATATACTGATCGAATTGAGTAACCTCCTCCTTTTTCGAAGTCGGTTAAAAACACGGACCAATCAGAGCGCGAGAATTGCGCGCGCCTAGACGCGAGAGCAAAAGGTTTGAGCCTAGCAACAGAGCACGATCATGATCAAGTGCCTATGCGCCGGGACAGTGTAAACGTTTAATAAAAAGCCCTTACATCAAATCTCAGTTAAATAATGAACAGCAGAGTTACAAATAATGTTCACTTATTCGTTTGTCATGAGTAAGGAACAGAATTAGTTATGTGTAATTAGCAAAAATCGAATAAATTAAATTTCTACAACTTTAGATTTACATAACACTTATGAATTCTTAAAATAAGACTCACCAATAGTTTAAAAATAATCCAGCTTCATTGAAAGTGGATCCTTGTAACTAGATCGTTGCATTGATCGTAACTATTCGTAAAAATAATGCACACTCCATAGTAACTAATATCATAGCCGGTTGACTTGACTATCATTTTTCATTCACGTTTTCATTATAATATTTTGTTGTTACTTTTCACTAATTTTCTAATGTAATAATGAAGAATAAACAAGCGAAGATGCGTGAACAATAACCTGAAAATAACTTCAAGGATTTTTTGTTTTTAACGTTTTGCTTCGAACGTTCTGTCTTAAACTGCCGATCGCACCACCAAAAGTTTTGAGCGTAAAGAAAACAAGATTCTGGATATCCTTTTTGGCCGTTTGAACCGTAGAGTCAAAGAATGAAATTAAATCGTTTCATTCTGCTGGCGCAACAGTTGCTTCATGGGCTTCCGAGGACCCTTATCCTTTTCCCTTTAGACAAAAATATTTTTTGTCTTTTTATAAAGAAAGGCATACTCTCACTTTCGTTTGAGTGTCAAACGTTCTTATTGTAAGGGACTGTTATGATGTAGACATCGATACATGTCTAAATTTTCCGTCGAAGTCTAAATTTTTAAATGTTTAAATGTTTACATTTTTCGTTCATCATTTTGTGATTGGCAGTTTAGGACACATCGTCGACTGTTCAACATCAAAAAGAAAATAAAAAATCGTTCAAATTATTTATGAATAACTCTTCACGCATTTTCATTATCGTTCTTTATCCGCGGTTATTACATTAGGCAATTAGTGAACAGTGGCAGCAGAATATTACAGTTAAACATGCTAATTAAAAGTCACAATAAAGTGAAATTAGTTCACTGATTAAACTGTGACATCAGACATTGTGCAATTTTTATGGAATATGATTATTTTTAAGCAATGGGTGAGTCTGATTCAAATTGGTTTATAACAAGAAATGAATAAATGGACATTATTTTAAATTGCTTGATTCATTATTTAACTAAGTTTTGACGTGAGGGCTTCTTATTAAACGTTTAGGTTGTGCCAGTGCAAAGGCGCTTGTTCACCATTACTCTCAGCCGTCAAGTTCAAAGCTGTCGCTCTCGTGTGTAGGCGTGCGCAATTCTCGCAGTCTGATTGATCCGTGTTTTTGCTTGACAATTGAAAAATGAAGCTTCAAATCCCATTTTTGCAAAGGGAAAAGTTGTTCAGAATCATGTTCACTACCGCATATTTTCGGGAGTTACACCAGTTGTGAGACACTCATTATGATGTATCATAATATATTGTACTCCACAACATTTAACTGCATTTTTTCATTTTCATTCATAATGAGTCGTTTAAGTTACTTCCTATAATCTGTCGGTAATATTGTGAGTGATATGGAAATAGTAGCACGGCAAAGATCCATTAATATTAATATATTTGGTGTTAAGAATGATTTCAGTATTCCCTGAGGATATCGCTTCAAATAGGACGCTGTATGTGTATACGCATACGAAATAAACAAATGCAAGTTTTGTTGTTTACGATCCGAAATTTCTAACGTTTTATTAACCTTCACGATGAAAGAATTGTTCATGATACACAAGTGGCTGTGCTATATTATTGTTTTATCGCGGTGTACAGTGTTCGGGACGATCGACATAAATTTAAACGAGTTAAAATATTTAGCTGCAAAACTTACTCATTTTGAATGTAGACGTCTAATAGCTGCACTCCATTACACCACTCATGAATTGCCAAATACGATAGCGGTTGCTGGTAAATCAATAATTTAATTGAGAAACACTGCTTCTCATAACTTTAATCATTTTTTTATTTACTATGCGTAGGTATAACATATAGAGTTAGTTATTCACAGTACGGGAGACAGCGTCGATTTTGATAAACTTGAATTATGTTGTCATGGCATTATTTTGATCAATTTTTCTTTCAACGTTCTACCATAGCTCGGTCGTAGTTTTCAACGTATCTGTGAAAGCACTGTAAAACTGGAATACTGAATTTTATATACATGTATGTATGTATTCACTATCACCGCATATGTAATTAACATTTATTCATAGAGATGTTGGCACGAAAGGTTTTTGAAAATTAAGTATAAAATATTTTGCAGTGAACAAAGTTACGACAATATGTAGATATTAAATATAAAGTTGATATTGCTATTATAAATTCAATCACTGCAAGTTCGACCAATCAAGAATGTTTTATATTTCTTTTTTCCATTATGCAGGTTCGAAGCATCCATTACATAACTAAGGTTCAATAGTAGTTTTGAACTTATAATTGAAAAAATAGTATTATTCACTTCGCTGCAAAAGTTTACCCAATCCACTGCGATGAACTATGATACTTCTATTTCTGTTTATAATAACTTTTAACACAGTATTTAATTTTAACATCTTAGCCACGGCTGAACTTTACGCGACGATGCTTCTTTGTACGGCAGGGTTATCATATACAACATTATTTATAAAATTAAAACAGGAAGATTATAATTTTTCTTAAAGATATGATACATATACTTTAATTTTGATAATTTGTTGTTTTAGTAAATTCACAAAATATATAATAATTTCCAAATGTTTCTAATACGCATCTTGCATTAGTGCAAGGAAATGCTCCGTCCATAGTGCCCAAACTACATGACGTTTCTTTTTTTTACATGTAATGTACTTCTCGTAGAATTTGCTAATACCCTTACAAAACGTAGTGAAGGCAAAAAAAGTGCGAATCAGAACGTATGAAAACAATCATTTAATTCAGACGGTGCATGAGTGAACCACTATTTTTATTACTTTTTTGTGAAAAAATTAATTATAATTTTTTTGTTCCTCGATCAGAATAATCGTATACTTCGTGAATTTTTGGCTGCGTCCTATTTGGTCGTGTTCCTAATTCTTATGTTTGAACAAAAGTCATTAGATGCTAATTTTCCAAAATTTAGTACAATTGCATTTATGTCTACCAGCAGACGTGTTCCCATTGCAAATTTGTATTTTAATCGACATTCATTTTTAATTATATTGAAGATTCAGACGGGTATTTTATGTTCAGTAACATAGCTAAAGCGGCAGATTAAAACAGTCAAAATATAACTCATGTTCAAATGTGGCATAGTCACATCTATTTTAATTGTAAAACTTATTTTATACCGATTATCTCTTCATTATAAAAGTTACCGCTTTAAAGGCATATTTCTTTACTGTGATATCATACTTATTTATATTTTATTGTCTCCGACGAAATCATTGACGATTTTCTATGACAGAACGCAACGTAGATGATGAGATTCCTTGTATTCGACACCTTCTACATTGGAATAGTTCTCCAGCGGAAGGAAAAGGCAAAAGTCATGAAGTTCTTACGCACAGACTGCGTCAAATAAATCGAAATGATTTGGCAGATTGGTTAGGTAAATCTGCATTTACGCAATTGGGAAAGGATCTGGATAGAGCCGTGGTAAACGCATTTGAAGAATTTGATAAAAAGGAAACGGAACAGTCGTAAGTATGTGACGTGTAAAGTTATATTAGAGGGAAGTAATTATATTGTAAGTATAGGTTTAGAAAAGAAAGCCAAGCCCTGATGATCTTTCAAAAATGTTGCTTTTAAAAATATTATCAAATCCGAAATATTTTTGGCTCCGAAAAGAGCCGATTGGATGTTGTTGAGATTGTATGGCTCCGAAAGGAGCCGATTGTGTTAAGTTGAATTTTTATGGCTCCGAAAGGAACCGATAATGTTGTTCCTGATTCTTCTTCGTATGATTCAATGAGTGGCCCCGAAAGGGGCCGATTACCGCCGGCAGTCACATCATCAGTGGCTCAATATGGCCACCCCCTATAGAAACACATGTCCGCAACCGCTTGACAACATTTTTCTGTACTTGCCGCAATAGGTCCAGTGTTATTTTGGCAACCGCGCCGTGAATGCGGGCTACTACCTCCTCCGGCGTGGTTACCTCCTCGCGGTACACCTCATTCTGCAACAATTAAATTAAAATGATAAAATAGTTAATTTTTTAATTGTTATCAGTCGTTAATTGTGAATAGATATCATACCTTCAAGAATCCCCAGAAAAAAAAGTCCAGCGGATTCAAATTCGGGGATCTTGGGGGCCACGCAACTGGGCCTCCACGGCCAATCCACCTGTCTTGGAAGATTTCGTCTAAGTACGACCTAACATTAGCGGCATAATGGCCAGGCGCACATTAGAACATGTTCCTTCGAATCTCTAATGGAATATCTACCAGCAGAGTTGGAAGAACATGTTCTACAAAAATTTTATACGAAGGAGCGTCCAATTTGTTTGGTAGATTCTGCCAAATCTGCAAAGATTCTGCACAGTCTGTTTTGTCCAACGACAAAATCCCCGAAAATGTCAGCCCATACGTTGACAGACCAGCGGTTTTGCGCAGAGCGTGGATGAATCGCGAACGGGTTCTCGGCGTCCCACACATGTGAGTTGTGGACATTGAAGCACCTTTCTGTTGTAAAAAGGGCTTCATCTGTCCACAAAACACATGAGAGCAACGACGGATTCCGCTCGATTTTCCCCAAGAGTGTTCGCCCCAAGTATGTTCTTGTCATTAGCAGCATAATGAGCAGGCACACCATCATCTTGAAAGAACATATTCCTCCGAATTTCTAATGGAATTTCTTCTAAAAGAGTCGGAAGAACATGCTGCACAAAAATTCTGTATGACGGACCTTCCAATCTGTTTAGCAAAGTGTACAATCAGCAGTTGCGCTCAGCGCGTGGACGAATCGCTATCGGATTTTGTATGTCCCACACATGTGAATTGTGGGCATTGAAGCACCCTTTTCTCTTGTAAAGGCTTCGTCTGTTCACAAAACACATGAGAGGAATGACGGATTCCGCTCGATTTTCTCCAAGATCCGCCTTGCAATCTCCACTCGGCGTACGTAAAGAACATGTTGTAATATTCGGCGTTGGTGCATTCGGTAGACATGTCTTGATGTGTACTTTTCGGCAGTTCAGAGAAAAATTGTTAGGAGTTTGCACATTATTTGAAGGACTAACATTGCAACTAGCTTCATCAGGGGATCTGAAGACAAACTGATACTTAAGTCTCAGGTTAAATCGCTTCAAATTTTTCACTCTAAGATCTATTTAAGACTTTGGTTTGTTCTTTGCCTACAGTCTTTTAACAACCAGTATTTATCCCTCTTTGGTACTCGTCTTCCAAAGACATTATTTTCGGAAATCCCAATATTGTTAACTATCTTACGGACAGTGTTTTTCGAATCTATGTGAGGCTTATATTGTATTTTTTTTTATTTGCTGTACGTTGAACATGATAAATTACTGGTACATGGTGCCTATCTACAATCCTCCGTGTTTTATTGAGAAACAGGAATACCTCCGGGAGGGATGAAACCCATCTCTAACATACAATTGTGAAAATCATTCCGTGGGTAGAGCGAACTGTTAATCAGAGGGTTAGAAATAACTTTTCTTATATTAGCTAAATAATTCGTTATCACGGGGTATATCTGCCGCATTATATAATTCCTTTGTACTTGCGTGAATAACTCTGTGGAAGTCCTCAAACATTTTCCTTTCAAATTCTCTCATTTTTTGGATAATAGGCAAACCATGTTAACCCTTTGCGGACGAGTGTCGACATATAGCCGCCTAAGCCTTTTTACCGTTCCGGACGCGTGTCGGCATATAGCCGCCCAACATTTTCAGGATTCTGAACCTAAGAATCCTTCGACTTCTGAAACAGCAGAAAGGCTGAACGGTCTTTCACATATTATTCGGCGAGATAATACAGGAAGGAGTAAAGACTGTCTAGTGTGTTCTAATCGAAATGTAAAGCATGGAAGAAGAGAATCGAGATATTATTGTGCAACTTGTACGGCGAAACCGGCCTTGCACATAGGTGACTGTTTTGAACGATACCACACAATGCCGGAATATAAAACGTATACATAAACACAACCAAACTTCTTTTCTTGTTTTTTTTTCAATTTGTTTGTTTATAACTTTTTTGGATTTTATGAACAATTTTTTGAAACGTTCAACGTATTTATTTTCCTTACTGTGCACTCCAATACGAGGTGCGATCATTAAGTTCCGGGACTGGCCCCGTAATGCAGATAAAGTCAACTGTTTTAAATTTGGCTACCATCCCCTTCAAAGTACTACTCTTGGATAGCTATGCACCGATCCCAGAGCCTCTGCCATTTTTGGAAAGCTTCCTAGAAGTCTTCTTGTTGAATCGTGTCAAGCACCTGCTGCGATTCGCGTTGAATCTCGTCCACCGTGTCAAATCGGCGACCCTTGAGCTTTAATTTCATTCTGGGAAACAAAAAGAAATAACAGGATTCCAAATCTGATGAATACGGAGGGTGAGGAAGTACGACAATTTTCCATGTTTCCTTTTTTTTTTTAATGTCCCTCTGTTCCAATTTGGAGTCCATCGTGATTTCGCAAAGGAAAGTGTACGTATGCTACCATAAACTTGTATAACACAGGATTTAATGACGATATCGCTTCCAAACTTCGTGTCATATGTCTCGAAGATTGTTATTCTTATATTCTGCGAGCGCATGTCAATCGTGTCATTCGTTTGGTCACAGCAGACACAATCCCGGAACTTAATGATCGCACCTCATACCTCTCGTCCACAGCGACGCTCGTTCGCCGAGCGGCTCCGTCCGCGAAGGGTTAAACCATACCGGACAACCCATACGTTAGTTCGGGTCGAATTAATAACTGATAGCTTATGGGTTTATAATTATTAGAGTCAGATGGATCAGGCAGAACTCCAAACCCTAATTATCAATTATGACGTAAAATTAATTAATAAATGAATTTTATTTTTTTAACTAATATATCATTTATATCAATTATGAATGTGAATCTATTTAAAATTACTTAAATTGTGAAATGAAATAGAAAAATTAGGCCAAAAACCGAAATTTCCATTGAATGTTTCATTTGGCTCAAGGGCACATTTGAATACCTTATTCAGCTAAACCCTTTATTGTTCAATTATCTTTAAATACTAAATTCTTTACAATTTTTATCCTTCATTTTTAATGCTATTGAACAGTATACGGCAGGAAATGTAATATCTTTTCCTTAAAAAAGTACCTTTATCATTAGTATATGCTAAACATATTTAAAATTTCACAGTTACCCAATAACTCTACAACCTATTAAAGTTTATGGAGAAGAGGAAAGCTCCTGGGCAGAAATTGATATTATTCTTATGGCAATATTACTAGGATTATTGGGGTCATTATTAACGTTGATATGCGCCACAATTTTAAGCAAAATAAAAGAACATTTTCGCAAAGTTAAGTACAGGTACGATTACATATTGAATAGCATTTTTAACTACGTACATTAAAAACTAGATTAAAGTTTAGACTTTGACAGCAGCAGAACAATGAGTGAACAGGAAGATAATTTTTCTACATCGGGGGTGGACCGTTTGCAGTAAAATCGTAGTGTCAAGCATACGTTCGTCAGTTCGACGTTCAATTCAACAATAACAATGATAAGTGCAACACAGCAGAAAAGGAATTGATTAGTATCTTTTGAATCATGCTTAATTTATCGATTTCTTGACTTAATCTGTATTAAATACCATTCAATACAAGTATATGGTTTGTACAACGCCCGATCTATCACAAGAGAGAGAGAGGTAAAAGTGCAGGGCTAACATTAATGATTCATTCGTTTGGGAAAGGATGTATTAGGTTGGGGAATAAGTTCGTGGCGTTTTGACATTTTCTTTTTTTTACAGCGACATTTTGCAATTTGCAAGGAGTTATAATATTCATTCGATAGAGCTCTTTTTGCTCTACAAAACTGTGTTAATCGTTTTTTTCAGTAGATTCATTCGTCATTACTATTGAGGCTTAGAAATGGAATATCAAGAAGGCAAAAAGCAGCATTTTCGACACCTGCTCTTCTTCGCTTTCCATCGCGGCCAAAAAGTTGTGAAAAGTTGTGAATAGTTGCTGAAACAGGCCGGGATATTTGCAATGTGTACGGAGAAGGTATCATAGGTGAGTCGATAGCACGGAAATGGTTTGCAAAATTCAACCTAAGGTTGGGCAATAAGTTCGTAGCGTTCACTTCGTGAGGCACCCAGGCTCCCAATTTTTCGACAAATCCTATTGAATGGAGATGATTGAGAATAGTTTTGTGGTCACAGTTCATTTTTTCGACCAATTTACGACTAATTTCAGGACCATCCTGCTTCACACGTGCTCGGAGACGGTCTTCGTCGAACTCAGAAGGTCTTCCGCTGCGGGGCGGGTTTTCGACGTTAAAATCGCCATTTTTGAATTTTGCAAACCATTTCCGTGCTGTCGACTCACCTATGACACCTTCTCACTCACGTCTAGAAAATAATCGAGCCCATTCTATACATTTTAGCATACATTTTGTAGCATATTCCTATACTGTGTACACTGCAGTACTGATCCGTTATTTCCCTAGAACCTAGCTTTGTCAGATCCTCTGATTTAACGCCCTCTGACTTGTTCCTGTAGAGGTACTTTAACCAGTTAAGTGTGTTTGACGACTATATCCGTCACGGAGATGTGGCAGAATTTTGTGTCATGACGACTATATCCGTCATGCGTAAAATTTTGTTACAATTTGATATTTAAATTGTAATTTTGGCGAAAACTAAATTATATTCGTAAATTGTAATATGTTTAAAATGTTTAGAGGTCAACACGAAATGAAATAAACAAATAAAAAGTGTAAATGATTTGAGATGGATTCATATATTCTTGAGAGCTAACTCGTCATCGCTTGATTATCGCGACACACACTGGTACGCGCTTTGTCAAAAGATCGCCATAGTTAACTGGTTAAGAACCTAGTTTACATATCCTAACTACCGCAATCCTTAGTCGAGATAAAAAAACGCATTAGTGCTGCAGTGCAAACAATTGGCAAGACTATGCTGCAAAATATATGAAATGAGCTCGATTATTATCTGGACGTGTGTCGTATCACCAAGGGGGCACATATTGAATTTGTAATGAGTGAATAAACTTAATGAGTTTGTGGTTCTTTTCATATGTACATATCATACTTTTGAAGATATAGCATTTTTAAAACGGACGAATCATTTATGCTAGCCCTGTATATGCCTGGCGTACAAGATCAGTTGGTGAGCAGCTCATTTGCTCATATCAGCTGAATACTCTTTCGATGTACAATAACATTATTGCTGTAATAGTACGTTTGTCTTCGATGTTACGAAAAAATTGCATTTCATATTTTATTTCGAAAAACGGTACATTCGAGGAAGCTGTGACAAAGTGTAAAATATTCGACTTGTAACAACAAAAGAAAGTATTATACATAATGATTGAGTGATTGCAAAAAAAATATTCGTTATCCTTCGCTGCAAAAAAAATATTCGTTATCCTTCGCTGCAAAAATTAACATACTCGGGTAATTTGGCAGGCAAAAAGCATATCTGAACTATAATTATACATATAATATCTTTTTATATCAAAGGTTGGGAATAAGAGTCAGTTTCACTGTGAACAAGAGATTTTATTTTATAACCAATATTACTATTTACAATATATACAAAATTTGCACGTCACCTGTGAACAAGAGAAACGACAATTAAAGTCAATTATTCGCCTCTCTTTTTACACCAAGCTTAACTTATATTATTATAATAATTAATTGTCTTTATGTCGCTTTCTATTAACATGTGCTCTCCCTTTGTTATTCTTCTATTTCTTTCTACCTAGCTGTCGTTACCTGTAATTTAATACCCGACGAGACCTTTAGTAGGTGTCCTAGTAGCACACGCGGAGGCTACTCAGCGCGCTAAAGAGAGTATATTCTCTTTACATACATAAATATAAAACATGATGAAAATGTTACACAAAACATTAGTATAACATTTGTATAACATTTAGACAAACACTTATATACATATACAGATACAAACAAACCTCTATGTTAAATTACCCGATAATGCCCATCAAACTATAAATTAAATTTGACACCGGTATTCAATCTTGATATTTCATATATGTACATATGTATTAGTATTGTTTATGTGAGGGTAAACGAAACCAAATTTCTTTCTGAAAACTTCACCTTACGAGTATTATCATTTTCTGTGTTTGATACATTTGGTATGTATTGTAGAATTACATTTTTTCAATTCAAAACTTAATTAGTAAGCAAAAAATAAAATAAAAAAATATAAATTATAAATTTTAAAATATGCAGCTTCATTATTATTAAATCATGGATTTATCAAGTGAACATAGAAGAAAATACTACATTTCACAATTGAACTATTATAATTTATCTCTGCTTTTGATTTTATTTAGTTATACGAAACATAAAATAATAATGCAGACATTAAGTGGATTTTAATTGTATTTTTAAAGAATAAATCATGAAAATATATATTATTAACTGTTTCAGCTTACATTCTAATTTTTAATAATTTTAATTAAACTCTTAAGATGCAGGAATGAAAGGACAGATTCTATGGACAGATATAATAGTTTATTCAAATTAATCAGATTTACAGAAAATTCGGAGAAGTATTAGACATATTTCATTAATTTTTTACGACGCAAAACATGGTTTTCTGGATTAACAGACTATTTTGTCACGAAGATGAGATATCCGATGGATTCGTTTGCCTGTTCGTTGGAAATAGCTGGCGTGTGATCCAGCTCCATTCTAGGGATGTTCAAGAAGGAGCTTCTCCTCTTTAGTAAACAATCGAAGACGGAATATAGATAATAGGCTCGGAGCTGCGTATGTCATAGACCACAAAATTCTGGTAACGTTGACAAAAGCGACCCATCGAACGTAAAATGAGGAGTCGCGTTATGTATTAATAAGTAAACCTATAGGAGTGTCCCTGTAAAACGAGGTAGAAAATGCTTGAAACGCTAAGTCCGATTTTGAAAAATACTCTATATTCTACAAAGTCGGTTTCGAGGGCGAGGTAACGTCTTCGAAAGGTCTTTCAAGAATGTCCTCTTTCCGTTCCTCGAGGTTGATGGGTGTGACTTCCCTGATTGGTTAGCTCTTACTTTGTTGATTGGCAAGAAGGCGGTCGTCTTTTCTGTCATTCATTCGACAAAATTCACGCCTCCGAAATACCTACTGATCATCTTTTTGTAATACGAGTGGCACGTCTGGAAAATCTCAAAAATCCTAACCCTGAGTCGAATATTTCATAATCCATCTTTACTGGTTGCTGATGGCTAGATTTATTATGGCCACACTAAACCGACTTAGTTTTTAACGCAGCTTTCTGTAAACTGCAATAAATTAACGTTACGAAATCCTGTTTTTGTGCTGTTCGTTTAGATTTACAATTTAACTTTAATTTAATTTATATTATAATTTAATTTAATACTTCTATTCAATTTCGAGAATATAAAAGTCCAAACAAATTAAAAAATGGCGTTGCAACGAATATTAATGCAATATAAAATTTAACTATACTGTACAACAGGAGTCTCTCCTGCAGAATTACTGTTTAATAGGAAAATTAGATGTAAGTTAGATTTATTGCGATCCTGTATAAAGGAAAACAATTTAAGTAGCTAGAATAAGAACACAAAGTATTTTAAAACAAAATAGAGAACGAGTTGTCAAAAGTGTTCTATAGGCGGTAAATAGGTTTTTGGTAGAATTTTAGAACGTGTAGGAAAATTACACTATACAATTAGATTAGAATATCATGCAAAGTATAAATAACGAAGCACCAGGGATAACAGCACATTTGACAAGACATCGTCAAACCGTAGAATCAATCCGCAGTTCAAGTACAAATAGAGCAATATACGACAGATATAGAATGCACATGGACCCACTAATATTATATAAAATATAATATACATGTTCACCTATTTAAAGCAGGAGCATCATTTAAGAAAAAGGACTGTTACAATGCGTTTGGAATTCGTGCTCATTTGATTAGCGCGATATGATTAGAGGTCGTGTGATGGTGTTAGTGTGACGCAGTCGTAACAAAATATTGCGGAAAAAGTGTAAATATGAATATTCAATTTTTGTTTGCGACTGTTAGAAAAATAGCTACAATTTGCGAATCTTTTATTACATTATCACATTACTACTATATGAAAAATTAAAAACATTTTACTTTTAGTGTTTTTCATTTGAGATTTCAACTATTTATTATTGCCGCGAGAATTAATGAAATATATAACACGTCACTCAATAAGTCTCCGGTCTAACTAAGAAAAACAAATTTTTTTTTAGAAATTTCCCTTTAATCATCAATATACATTCTTTCCAGTGTGATACATTGATTCCAACGCACCTCTAACTTTTCAATTCCCTTTATATTAAACGATTTGTCTTTGACCCCAAAATAAGCTTCAGTTTCCGCAATCACTTCTTCATTTGAGCCAAATTTCTTTCTCTGGAGCATTTTTTTCATATCTACAAAGAGCCAGTAGTCTCTGGGGTCCAAATCTAGGGAGTACGGTGTGTGGGAAAACAATTCAAAACGTAATTCATTCAATTGAACCATCGTGTTCATCGAC